TACTGACCTTCTAAGTTGTCTTTGGTGAGGAGTCTGGAAACTGCCACAGCTCCCCTTGATTCAACTCCCGGAGGCCTGCTCCAGGTTTGCTGAGGCCCAGTCTTTCCCTGAGTGAACCCATGAACCACACTCCTCTCCCAGTCTGGTGCAGTAGACTTTTCCAATCAACCATCCAGGTTATGTTGGGGTGGAAATTTGTTTTACTCTGTCTTTTTGTGAGTTTTGCTGCTCTACAATTTGTTTAGAGCCATTTTTTACAGATATTTGGAGGGGTTTTGGGGAGAGCTCAAGCAAGTCACTGCTTTTACCCCGACATCTTGGCTCCCTAGAGGAGTGTTTTGTGAAAGCACACAGGTAAGTCTATGGTGGGCATCAATGCATCATCTTCTTTGATCACTTTTCTGGCTGGTCACACCTTGCATTTTATGTCATATCTCACATCTTGCATCCTGCTTGCTCCGTCTGCTTCAAGCACTCCCGTCTACCTCCTCAATCAGCTACCATGGATTTAATCACCATCTCTGTGCTGATGATTCTCACATCTCCCTTTCCTGCCCTAATCTCTCTGCTGACCTCCAGTCTTGCATCTCTGCTGACCTGTCTGGCTTCTTCTAAGTCACAACTAAAAACTAAAAACTGTCTACATGAAGCCTTCCCAAACCCCTCTTCATTCTTGTACCTTTTCTCTTTTAGTAATTTCCTATTTCCCCTGTGTATAGCTTGCTTTGTATATATTTGTTTGCATATTAATCCCTCATTAGATTGTAAGCTCCTTGAGGGCAAGGATTGTCTTTTGCCTCTTTTTATAATCTCAGTTTATAGCAGAGTACCTGGCACATAGTAGGTACTTAATAAATGCATATAGAATTTATTGAAAATTTCAGGTCCTTGATATGACCTTGGCCCATCACTCTCTTCTCCCTATCATTCTTCTTCTCTCCCCCGGTTCATGTATCTTCCCATGTTGTTGTATGGTCCCACAAAAGAAGCATTCTACTGAAGGCAGGATTTTGCAAGATTCTGTTCATAATATCCCCTGTCATTCTTTTCATTTTTATCTCTACCAGATTTTCTCATTCATCCCTGTCTCCTTGTACACTTTTATTTTATTTTATTTTTTTTTACTTTTAGGCAATTGGGGCTAAGTGACTTGCCCAGGGTCACACAGCTAGTACATGTCAAGTTTTTGGTCTGAGGCCAGATTTGAACTCAGGTCCTCCTGACTTCAGGGCCAGTGCTCTATCCACTGCGCCACCACCTAGCTGCCCCCTATGGTTTTTTTTTGTTTTTTTCGGGGGGGGGGGGGTTGGGTTTTTTTGTTTGTTTTTTTTTTGGTTAGGCAACGGGGTTAAATGACTTGCCCAGGGTCACACAGCTAGTAAGTGTTATGTGTGTGAGGCCAGATTTGAACTCAAGTCCTTCTGAATCCAGGGCTGGTGCTCTATCCACTGTGCCACCTAGCTGCCCCTCCTTGTACACTTTTAGAAAAAAATATCTTACTGATCTTTCGATTGTTTCTTTCTGTTGTCTATTTTTATTCACTCCTCTTTCATTTCTGTTGTTTGGGGTGTTTAAGAAGCAAATAATCTCTTTGATTCTAGTTTTCTTTTAAAAAATATTTCAGACGCTTTATTATTGAACAACCACTTCTCTCCATATTGTTATCAGCTCACATCTGCAAGGTGGGTCTCACTGGGCTCCATGCTCAGTCCTCTGCTGGCTTGTAGGACCTTTTGGTTCTGAATTGAATTTTCAAATTCAACTATTACTTATTTTGGAGTTTGCTGACTCAGAGTTGGGTTTCTTTTTTTCTGTAGGTGATCTGTGAATTCTTTGAATTTGAATTTCATTATCTGTGTTCAGAGGATTTGGCAAATTTTCTTTGATTATTTCCTTCATGATTGTGTCAATGTTTTTGTTTGTTTGTTTTACCCAATTTTGTCCTTCTGGGAGACCTATGATACTTAGGTTGTCTGTGTACACCCTGTTTTTGAGTTCAGTATGTTTTGCATGGGTAAAGGGCAGATTTTCCTTGAGTGTTATTGTTTTTTCCTTCTCTTCTTCTAGGTTGTCCTTCGTTTTTGTGTATTTGCTTTCCTCTGTCTTTTGTTTTGTTTGGGGAGGCTTGACGTGGCAGATTCTAGGTTTTCCATTCCCTTAGTCTGGCAGTTAACAGAAGAAGACAACACACAAGAGAAAGATTAAAAGGTATCTTGGTGGGGAAAAGATACCCAATTCAGGAGCATGGTAGAGAAGTCAGTCAGAAAAGTCTCAAAAGAGGTTGTCAGAAAATTGGACCTCTAAAGCATTGGTGGAGTTGGGAACTAATCCAACCATTCTGGAGAGCAATTTGGAACTACACTCAAAGGGCTATAAAATTGTGCATACCCCTTGACCCAGCAATGCCACTTCTAGATCTGTATCCTAAAGAGATCATAAAAATGGGAAAAGGACCTACATGTACAAAAATATTTATAGCAGCTCTTTTTGTGGTGGCCAAGAACTGGAAATTCAGGGATGCCTATCAACTGGAGAATGGCTGAACAAGTTGTGGTATATGAATGTAATGGAATACTATTGTTCCATAAGAAGTGATGAGCAGGCGGATTTCAGAAAAACCTGGAAAGTATTACGTGAACTGATGCTGAGTGAAGTGAGCAGAACTCAGAGAACATTGTACACAATAACAGCAACATTGTGTGATGACCAAGTTTGATAGGCTTGTCTCTTCTCAGCAATGCAATGATCTAAGACAACTCCAAAAGACTCATAATGGAAAACGCTATCCACATCCAGAGAAAGAGCTATGGAGTCTGAATGCAGATCAAAGCATACTACTTTCTTTCTCTCTCTTTTTTTATTTCTTCTTTCTCATGGTTTTTCCCTTTGGTTCTAATTCTTTTTTACAACATGACTAATGTGGAAATATGTGGTTTTTTTTTAAAATATTAGGTCCCAAAGAAGTAGACCCAGGTGAGAAATGAGGAGATACTGAAGGTGAATTTGCTCCTTAAAAGGAGGTTTGGAGTTCATAGCCCCACCCCTTATTGGTGAAGGATAGCTGTGGGAGGCTTGGGTTGGGTGTGAGATAGGGATTCAATTAAAGTGCAGCAATCTATCAATAAAAGGACTGTCTTCCTTTAGTGAGAATCCACACTATGAATACTATGAAAAGATAAGTGACTCAAGGGACCTGAGAGAAATTCTTGGGAATCTCAAAAAGTGTAAAAGAGCAAGAAATTCTTCAATTGTTCAGAAGTCAAATAATAGAATAAAGAACATAAAAGATGAAATGTGGATTACACATAGACCATAAATCAGATGTTTTAAAGAAGAAATCAAAATGATTTAAAATGGAACAGCAATTTTATATACGCAATGGAGAATTGTTCCCAAATATCAGAATCTCTGATAAAGTGAATCCTCTGCTTATGATGGAAATGGAAGAAAATGAAATGGAAAGTCACCAGATTTTAAGTGCATTGGTCAAACACATGTTGTACATGTAGCAGGTTGGAAATAGAGATGACCTCTTCCCAAGTATCAGGGTGTTTTCAGATCTGGCCTGCCTCTCCTGTATGTGGTATATTAGGAGACTTCTTAACTCAGCTTCTTGACTCTTGTTCTGCCAAGTGTCTAGAGTTCTTGGGATGTGTTTAGATCATTTATTTCTCATAAAGAAACTGGCAACATTTTTCTCATGAATTAGCTCAAACAAAACCCAAATTATTATAATATTGCTTTTTTAATCAATGAAGAAAGCCTCTTTCTTCCATTCTAGTTACTCTTGTTTTACTGTAATGAAATATTATACCTAAGGAATAAATGTCATAGACACCTGAAAGCAATCCTAAAGCAAAGGCATAAGCTGTTTTGGCTGTGACACATCATCTCCAGAGTGACCTCCAGCCCTCAACATAACAACAGATAAACTCTCCTTCACTTGTCTAGAAACTACCTCATCCTACTCAATGTTTTCAGACAGATAAGACTTTATTCCAGCTTCTCAGGAAACAAACTAGATACACTTCCCCCAGTATATGCTGTACTTCTCAGTTTCTCAAATTCTTTGCAGAATTTTCTTTAGACCATATCACATATATCAGTTCTGATAAGGAAGAAATTTCCCATCACCCTCTCATTCTCCTCCACAAATCCACCTACCTCACAGATAGGACACAAACTTGCTCCCTGATTCCACAGGGTGACACATTTTGTAGTTAAGACATTTCTCAGTTTTGTTCCAACCTATCAGATAAAATGCTTTTCTCAAAATCAGATCAGGCTCTTACTGACTGTGGTTTTAGGAGTTGACTCTGACTCTCATAAAGAGTATGACCTTTGGGAAATCTCTTCTCTGTGCTTCACTTTCCTCCTATAAATTGATGAGGGTGTCACAGTTAAAAATTTCTGAGAGACATAGTTTCTGTGTAATTTAATCATTTTATTCATAAGGCCAGCACATGACCATGAAAGGGTGGTCATTTGGTTATCTCTTTTAGACCAAAGACTCCTATGATGGTGGGCTCACAGTTTCTATGCCCTTCAAAGAGTAGATGTTCCTGAGGGGTGATAATCAACTCTGACTGGTTAACATGATGAGAGGTAGGCTATATTAAAATGAGGGTCTTTGGGTATATGACTTAGGTCACCCAAATCTTGGCCAAATAGACATCAATTTCCATATTACCTGTCTTGATAAAAGGGAAAATCAACATTTTCTCAGACCTGTCTGAGCAAACACAATGAGCAGGAATACCCATTAGCCCAAACTTAGAATTTCCTTTACTGTCTGATTAGCTCTTGGCCTGGGTAAATCTTTAAGAGATTTCCCACACTGGTTGGTTTCTGGATAAGGAGGCAGTAAAGGAGTAAAACCTTGGTCCTAATACAATAATTAGTTATTAAACACAAGCTAGAAATATTCATTTCTAACAAGGGTCGGACTATTTAATTCTAAAGTGTCCTTCAGCTCTATATCTATACTTTTATTAATTTAGGGGTTGGTGACATTCAAGGATGTGGCTGTGGACTTCACCCAGGAGGAGTGGGCCCTCTTGGACCATCCTCAGAAGGAGCTGTACAAGGAGGTCATGCTGGAGAATGCCCAGAACCTGCTCTCCCTGGGTAAGAACACTTCCCTTGGTAACATTGAGTCTGCAATCAAAGGAATATCTTCATTCCCTAGTGTGCAGTGTTTGGAGCATTTATCAATTGTTAGAGAAAAGTGTAAATATCCTGTGTCCCAGGGGCAGGGTCCTCCTGCAGCTTGGTTTTCCTATAAAACATCTTTGCATTGTGTGACAGGAACCTAAAGCTGTCTCTTACCAATTCTAGGTAGCTTCAGATCAAAGATGAAACCAGCATGGACAAATCTCAAACATGAAGTAATGTTCCAGGTTATTTACTCGAACATCTTCCTGGACTTGTATTTTTCCTGGAAGATCTCTGAAAACTGCTTGGGTAGCTTTTTCTTGTCACCTCTGCCTCTTTGGGATGGATCAAGAATTGGGAATATTCTTCTTTTTAATGAATGTCAATTTGTAGCTCAAAACTCTCACTTGTCCCTAGTGTACAGAATTTGTCCTTAATCTTCCTTCACATTGCCCTAAAATTCTAACACAGACAGTGGGAAAGGAAGGGAAGGGAAGAAGCACTGATTTGCTTATTTGCCTATTTGCCAGGTGTTAAGTCACGAATATTACAATATTATGTCACTTTATGTTCACAATAACCTTCCAAGTTTGGTGATTTCATTCTCCCCATTTGACAGTTGAGGAAACTGAAGCAAAAAAGAGGTTAAGTGACTTGTCCCAGGGCACACAGCTAGTAAATGTCTGAGGTTGAATTTAGACTCTGACATTCCTCACTCTAGACCCAGGGCTCTCTCCACTGCACCGTCAGCTGCCTCTTAATTTCTGGAGAATGGAAAGTATGCAATGAGTCCTTCCTTCTATGAAGAAGGCATATCAGGACCAAATTTTCTGATTCCAACCTGGTTCTATGATCTTCTCCTCCACCTCTCCCCAGAGCTCAGAAAATAAATGCTATCAGACTATACTTCAGGAGTCCATGGAACCACCGTTGCTTGCATGTCCCTGGCATTGCCAGGAGTAACAGATGAGCCAAGAAATAGAATTTGGACCAACCAGGGTTTAATGAGATTGCCAGTAGGAGAATCTCATTTGAAGAGGCACAGACTCCCCAAATGAACAGTACATAAGATTTCTATAGGTTTCAGGGAGGAAAGAATGGGGAAGGGGGGAGTGCAAAAGCTGGTTCATCAAGGTCCCTCTTTCTGTGGCTTGAAGCTGGTCTTGAACAATAGCACTTTTTAGACAGTTTTAGAATTAGGAGTTTCTACCAGAATGGAACTTGACAGGATGAGGGGCAGAGGTTTGGCTCTTTCTCAGAAAAGGCTGTAAACCAGGATAATGTGGCATTTTCTGTTTTGGGTTACATGCATCACAATCCCTAATGGGTGAATAGAGACTCATATATGTGAACATAATGGAGTGAATCTCAAAATGGAGCAGTTCTGGGTCTGAACACCTTTCCCTAAAGAGAACTAAATTACAAGTTTCTTTAAATGCTCATCCCTAACTGACTCCCCATGCCTAGGGCTTCCAGTTCCCAGAGAAGATGTGATCTCTTATTTGGAGCAAAGTGAAGTGCCATGGATGCTGGAGAAAGAAGGCCTAAAAATCTGCTGTCCAGGTGAGTGAGGTGAAAGCAGGTATATGAGAGCTGTGATTACAAGAGGCTCCTAGGTGTTGTGGTGAAGTGCGTGCTAGATTTGGGGGCAGAAAGACCTGACTTGGAATTTTTTTTCAGATATTTCTCAGCAGTGGCTTCCTTGGTTAGTCACAGAACCACTGATCCTCAGTTTCCCGATCTGTAAAATGAGGACGTTGAACACCATGGCCTTTCAGCACCCTTCTTGGGATCAATCTGTGATCCCAAAAAAAGTCATCATTTGGAATTTGAGGGCATAGAATTCTTCTGAAAGTGCAAAAAATGATTAGGCTATCCTATATGAGCTCTTTCTTAGACCTTCTTCAAGTAAACAAACAGTGAAGTGCCAGCTACATGCCAGGTCCTCTGCTAAGCACCAGGGACATAAAGAGATGCAAGGGACATCCCCTGCCCTCATGGAGCTCCCAGTCTGGTGGGGCAGACAACATGCCCACAACGATGTAGAAACCTGCTATGGACTAGACAAATTGGAGCTAGTCAAGAGAGGAAAGACTCTAAAGTTAAGGAGCATTGGGGCAGTCTTACTGTGGAGGGAGGACTCTAGCTGAAACTTCAGGGAAACCAGGGTAAACATTCCAGGTAACAGGGGCAGGGAGGAAAAGCCACAGAGTCAAGAGGTGGAGTGTCCTGTTCATGGAACAGAAAGGAGGCCCACACCACTGGATTGTAGCATCTATGGTGAATAGGGTGAAAGAAGACTGGAAGAGTAGCAAAATGATAAGTGATGAAGGGTTTTAACAGGTCGAGAGAGGATTTTATATTTCATCCTTTTGCTGAGGAGCCTCTGGACATTATTGAGTAGGTGATAACATGGTCAGGTGATAGCTTTAGGATGATGAACTTGACAACTGGGTGGAGGAGTGACTGGGGAGATTTGAGGCAGCTGGACCAAGCAGCAGGCAATATCTCTAGAGTGAGGTGATTGGGATCTGAACCAAGAAAGTGACAATGTTAGGAGAGAAGGAGATGTGTGGAAGACATGTCACAAAGGTGGAATCAACAGGACTTTGCAACAGATTGAACAAGGGGGTCAGGAATGTGAATGTGTGAGAGACAATGAGGAGTCCATGACATTTCATTTCTGAGGCTGCACTGTTGGGAGGATGCCTTAGGTAGTATTAGGAATGGGAGAATTGGGGGTAAGGGAATGAGTTTCCTTTTGAATATGGTAGAAGTAAAACCAGGAGAGAGTCATCTCACTAAAACCTAGAGAGGGGAGGATCAAGGAAAGGGGGAGACTGAGAGTGTCAAAGCCTGCAGAGAGGTCAAGAAGAGTCAAGATTAAGAAGTGGCCATTGAATTTTAGCAATTTTGAGATTACTGGTCATTTTGGAGAGATGAGTTTCCATTGAACAATGAAATTGAGAGCTAGCCTGCAGAGAGTTTCTTTTTTTTCTTTTGACTATTATAAATACCCAAATTAACAAGGAAAATGATATCTGCATACTGAGAAAGAACTGATAAACAAAAGTATGTCTAGAATAATTTGACATATATATGTATTAAATATATATGTATATTTACGTGTGTGTGTGTGTGTGTATGTGTTTATGTGTGTGTGTGTGTCTAATGGTGGCCATATCTTGGGCAGGGGGGAGGGAAGAAAAAAAAGAAAAGAAAGGGAACAAAAGAGAGTTTCAAGGAAAGCAAGAGAAAGGAGATGGAGACACCAAATGGAAATGACCATTTAGAACTGTTTAGCCACAAATAGAGGAAAGATATTGGACACCATCTCCTGGGGATGCATAGATCATGTGAGAGTATTTTAAGGAGTAGAGAGAAATGATTTTATTTGTAGTAATAGGGAAAGGGTCACTGGTGTGGGAGAGAGTGAAAATTAATGAAAAAATGGAGATACTAGAAGAGGAATATATGAGGGTAGTTGAGGGGGTCGAATGAGATCATTTGCAAATGCAAAGTGAATTTCTTTCAGCAAACAAAAGAATAGTCTTTCCATCTGATACTGGGGTGCAAAAGGGAAAGAAGGCATCTGATCTATGTGAGATGAGAAGGATAAGAAAGCCCTTGATAAATGTCCAGTTTTTTTCAGTGAGAGGTGGGATGGGGGTGGAAGCTAGCCATAATGGAAGGCTGGGGATAAATGAGATGATTTGGGAAAGCTGCTGTGGTGAGTGACATAGGGACTCAGTCAGGGAGAAAGCAAAGGATTGCCTTGCTCCAGGGAGGGCCCTGCTGAGATTACGTAGCCTAAAATGGTAGTGGATCTGGTAGCCTTGTTTCATGCTTTCCTCTCTCTCCATTTAGCTGCACATGAGGAGGAGAGAAAGCTGCTGTCTTACTTGGAAGTCATCCATGCCAAAGCTTTGCATAAATTCTCAACCTGAATCACTTTCCTGATCTCTGTAGCTTAATCTCTGTCCCCATTCTTGGGGAATCATGGGCTAGGTTCATGTAGGTGATCATCACATCAGTATAGGGAGCTGGGAGTTAGAGACCCACAGGTGTCCTGTAGCATGAGACCCTTCAGGAGCCTAGGAAGAAGCCTCTGTGATCTTCAATATTGGTTCTGTTCCAATTCCAACAGGTTAGAACCTGACAAAGGTGACTATTTAGAGGTGATTAAGTACAAGAAAGGGACAGAAATAGGGCTGAGGCCCAAACAGTAGTGAGTAGAGGTAGAGGCTGGGGACTGCTATCAGTCCTGGGCCCAGTAAGGGAATCAATAAACATTGATTAAGTGCCTTCTGTTTTAGGTATTGTGCTAAGCCATGAGGATATAGAGGAAGGTGAAAGAGAGTCTCTGCTGTCAGGGAGCTCAGAATCTAGTTCACAAACATGGAGATAGCTTGAGAAGGAGCAAAAGATCACAAACCTCACTCTTAGCTGATGCAGGGAAAAGAGACTGTTTTGGAATGGAAATACATTTAGTACAACAGAGCAATAAGGGAATAAAAGGAGTGAGGATAATAGCAGTTCAAGTAGGAGAGCAGAATTGGGGAGGAAATAGAATCAAATAAAAGTAATAGCTAGCATTTATGCAGCACCTACCATGTGTCATGAGCTTTATAAATACTGTCTCATTTTATCCTTGTAAGAACCCTAAGAGTTAGATCTTACAATTATGCCCATTTTACAGATGAAGAGACTGAGGCAAACAGAAGTCCTGTGACTTGCCCAAGGTCACAGGACTAGTAAGTTTCTGAGGTGAGATTGGAACTCAGGTCTAAGTGATTCAAAGCCCAGCAGCATTCTATCCATTGCACCATCAGTTGTATTCTGATTTTTAAACAGAATGCCATGAAAATGCTCATACATGTATGAGGTGGAAAATGGAAGGAGAATTGGACAAGCTCTCTTGCTGAGGCATAAAAAAATTCATTTTTTTAGCTCTATAACCAGTCAAAACGAATTGCTAGTTACTATTAAAAAGATTATTTTTCTATTGGCTCATGAAAAGTAGTGCATTAAATGACAAATGTACCTCAAGGTCAAGTGCACATATTGCTTTGTTTTGTTTTTTTAATAATGTTTATATACAAAATAACCTTCGAAAGGAAAGAATTTCTTCAGATACAACTTTGTTTTTTTTTACAACAGAAAAACAGGCTACACTCTCACTGAAACTCTACTGAATGACTAATCCATCTTACCAACCAATTCCTTTAAGAAGCTGCCAGATAAGAATACCAACATAAGTAGAGGATAAGTTCATATTAGAAAACTACCTTGGCATATCAGTGAATGGCACCTTAAGGTATTTTTTGTAGAAAAGCTGTAGTGATCCATGATGTTTCATGATGCGTTCTACTGTGACTGCCTAGGGACCATGGTTTTCAAAGAGCCTGCCATCTCTGCTACAAGAATGCAAACCCTAGAAGATTTTCATCAGGGCAGAGCCAAATCATAAAAGAGTTTCAAAAATCCAGTGAGGAGAAGAATGCCTTGAAAAGTAGAATTGGCCAAATGGAAAAGGAAACACAAAAGCTCACTGAAGAAAATAATTCTTTAAAAATTAGAATTGACAAGTGGAAGTTAATGATTCTATGAGACATCAGGAAAGAATAAAACAAAACCAAAAGAATGAAAAAATAGAAGACAACCTGAAATATCTCATTAGAAAAAAACTGACCTGGAAAATAGATTCAGGAGAGATATATTAAAAATTACTGGACTTCCTTATAGCCATGGTCAAAAAAAAGAAAGAGTGTAGACATCATCTTTCAAAAATTATCAAGGAAAATTGCCCTGATACTCTAGAGCCAGAGGGTAAAATAGAAATTGAAAGAATCCACTAATCACCTCCTGAAAGAGATCCCCAAATGAAAACTCCCAGAAATATTATAGACAAATTCCAGAGCTCCCAGGTCAAGGAGAAAATATTGCAAGCAGTCAGAAAGAAACAATCCAAGTATTATGGAGCCTCAGTCAGGATAATGCAAGAATTAACAGTTTCTACATTAAAGAATTGGAGGACTTGGGATATGATATTCTGGAGAGCAAAGGAGCTAGGATTATAACGAAGAATCACCTACCCAGCAAAACTGAGTATAATCCTTCAGGGGGAAAAACTAGCATTCAATTATATAGAGCACTTTCAAGCATTCTTCATGAAAAGACCAGAGCTGAATAGAAAATTTGACTTCCAAATACAAGACTCAAGAGAAGCACACATTTAGGGTTAGAGTTAAAAAGGTAAACAGGAAAGGGAAATCATAAGGGACTTAATAAGGTTGAATTGTTTACATTCCTACATGGGATGATGATACTTGTAACTCATAAAAACTTTCTCATTATTAAGGCAGTTCAAAGGAGTAGATATGGACAGAGGGCACAAATATGAGTTGAATATGATGGGTTACTATTTAAAAAATAAAATTAAAGGGTGAGAAAGAGGAATGCATTGGGAGAAAGGGAAAGGAAGAAGTAGAATGGAGTAAATTATCTCACATCAAAGAAGCAAGAAAGAGCCTTTACACTGGAAGAGAAGATGAGGGAGGTGACAGGGAATACTCAAATCTTTTTCTCATCAAAATTGTCTCAAAAAGGGAATAACATACACACTCAATTGGATATAGAAATCTCTCTTATCCTACAGGAAATTAGGAGGGGAAGGGAAGGAGTGCTCATAGAAGGGAGAGGAGATTGGTGGGAGCAGTCAGAAGCAAAACACTTTTGAGCAGGGGTAAGGAGAAAGGAGAGAGAGAATTGAATAAACAGAGAGGGGAATAGGATGCTAGGAAATAGCAATCATAACTGTGAAAAAAAATTTGAAGCAAGTTTCTCAGATAAAGATTTCATCTCTCAAATATATGAAGAAATGAGTCAAATTTATAAAAATAAGAGCCATTCCACAATTGGCAAATGATCAAAAAAGTATGAAGTCAGCTTTCAGATAAAGTTATCAAAGCTACCTATAGCCATATTTTAAAAAATGCTTTAAATCACTATTGATTAGGGAAATGCAAATTAAAGCAATTCTGATTAGATAACCAATTAGATTGGCTAATAGGACAGAAAAGGGAAATAACAAATGTTGAAGAGGATGTGAGAAAATTAAGACGCTAAGTCATTGATTCAACCATTATGTAGAGCAATTTGGAACTATGCCCAAATATTTATAGCAGATCTTTTCTCATGGCAAGTAACTGGAAATTGTGGGGATGTCTATCAATTGGGGAATGGCTGTACAATTTGTTGTATATGATTGTGATGGAAAACTATTGTGCTATAAAAAATGATGACTACTAGATGCTCTTAGAAAAACCTGGAAAGACTTATATGAACTGATGCAAAGTGAAATGAGTTGAACCAGGAGTACATTGTACACAATAACAGCAATACTGTAAGATGATCAGTTGGGAATGACTTAGCTGATCTCAGCAATACAATGATCCAAGACAACTCTGAAGGACTTGTGAAGAAAAATGCTGTCCATCATAAGAGAAAGAACTGATGGAGTCTGAATACTTTGAAGCATACTTTTTTTAAAACTATTTTTCTTGTATTTTTATTTTGGTCTATGTTTTCTTTTCCAACATGACTAATATGGAAATATGTTTTGCATGACTACACATGTAAAGTGTATATCAAATTGATTGCCTTCTCAATGAGGGGTGTGGGGAGAGAGCAAGAGAATTTGGATTTCAGTTTTTAAAATGAATGTTGAAAATTGTTTTTTCCACGTAATTTAGGAAAAATAAAATACTAAATTTAAAAAAAAGACAAACCCCAGTGACACCTTGATCTGTTGATTACAGCTTTGATGAGATGCAATTACAAGGTAATCCAGGAATGAGAGAACTACTCTGGTGCACCACTGACAGCCAATGAAAGTCTGTGCATGCCTGAGACCATTTGCACATGAATGTCCAACTTTCCTGGAAGTTTGGAAACAATTTGACTTCAAGTTGAGAAAGTGAAAAAATATGTTGCACTTAGTCAGAAGCAGTCAGTTTGATGTAGTCATTGCGTAATCCCCAAAAGAAGTATATCCCTTATCATGATAGTTTGGAATCACTGCAGAAAAAAAACTGTTATGGTTGAAACATGCACAAGCTTGTTGTCCCAGAGGATAAATATCTTTGTAACCATAGTGGACAATTATTTACTGCTTATGGTGCCATCGACAAAATTTTAACCTAAATCTTTTGGACCATTGTGTCCATCCTTCAAGAGATTTGTGAACCGCTAAATGGTAAGGGCTGCAAAAGGGACTAAGTGAGGATGTTGTCCACTTCCACATAAACAGATGATGAGCTCATATTTTCAGAGATGGGCAATATCATGTATTTTTTTTAATTGTGTTTTTTACAAGGATTTTAATTTTATTTTAGTAAGCAGAGGCATTTAAAGATACTTTTAGAGAATTAGCTAATGGCTATCCTCCCCAAAAAATTAATGAGCCAGAACAAAACCTTGTATGCCTCAGGTAAGTAAAATTTAAAAAAAAAAAACATTGTTGTTATTCTTCATGTGACCTCAGATACTACAACAGAAAAAAGTTTTAAAGTGATCAATAGGGAAATTACATTATGCTTACAGCTAGGATAGATCATGAAATAATTTGAATATTCAGTGTATGTGCACCAAATCACATTGTATCTATGAAGAAAGGATTGAAAGTGTAGACAATGAAAGGAAAGAGAAAAATTGAAAGTGAAGATAATTTGTGGAGAGATGTGAACAGAGTATGCCCAGTCACAGGGTTTGTGTTCTAGGCTCAGCTGCTGGGATTTAGATCAAGTCACTCAACCATTCTGAGCTCATGACCTGAGTTGTGCATGTGATGAGAATGATGGCCCTGCCTTCATCACAGGTTTGTTGTGAGGATCCATAACAAAGAGAAGAGCTACTGCGGAGTTGTTATTGTTTGTCCTTCATTCTCAAAGTGGACAATGACATCAAGGAGGTGCAAAGTCACCAGCCTCACTTTTCCTCCAGAGCCATCTGGGTCCAGTGGCCAGATATCAATCAGGACAACTGGAGATGGCCCAAGATGCAGTGGGAGACCTTGACCTTTCAATCTACATCTTTAACTGGCTTCAGTTTGACTGAGGCAATGCTCATTCAGTGATTAAGGCAGAGAATGACCTCTTTAGCATAAAAAAAATTACCTGGGAGAAGACTTCTCAGGTTTTCCACCAAAACAGAAGCAATAGCTATTTACATTCATTCTGAGCCAATCAGGGCCCAAACAATGACCATTTGGCCTGGGACCTATTGTTGGCCAATCCATGAGAGCCAAAGTGGTTTGGGTTTAAGGCTGGTCTTTAAGAAAAATTTTTCAAAGTATCAGAGATTAAAATTTACGTTCTCTCTGGCAGGGCACCTGCAGGTGAAAGTATGATACCCTATGTGGACAGAGGAAATGGAAGGAAGGAAGGAAGGAAGGAAGGAAGGAAGGAAGGAAGGAAGGAAGGAAGGAAGGAAAGAAGGAAGGTAGGAAGGAAGGAAGGAAAGAAAGGATCCAGTGTGATTGTGTGTGAAACTCTTTGTAAATGAAATCATCCTTGGGATATGAGCTAATGGCATTTTAAAATAATTGGTTCTGCCCATTTAAGCTTGAAGATTTATCTCTTTGCCTGAGGAAATAGAAAGTAACTGAGTTTTTGTTCTGCCTGTGGAGAGAAGGGGACATAAATATATATGTGTATATAGTATATTTGCTTTATTGTGTTTTTTTTTTTTTTCAGAAAGAGAGATCAGACTTGAAATGAAGGAAACTACGGCAGAGCTAAGCCTTTTTGTAGAAGAAATCCACAAACAAAGATTCATGAGTGACAGTGCCTCTGACTTTACTTGGAGAGAAATCTGTGCTATACATGAAAGAATTCACACTGGAGAGAAACTTTATGACTGTAAACAATATGGAAAGACTTTTACAGAGACAAGAGATCTTACTGAACCTCAGAGAATCCATACTGGAGAAAAACCTTATGAATGCAATAAGTGTGGAAAAGCTTTCAGATCCAGCTCCAGTCTTGCTGAACATCAGGGAACCCACACTGGAGAGAAACCATATGAATGTAATCAATGTGGAAAAGCTTTTACATGGGGAACTGGTTTGATTGTACATCAGAGAATCCACAAGGAAGAGAAAACTTATGAATGTTATCATTGTGGAAAGACTTTCAAAAGTAGAAATGGTATTCATGTACATAAAAGAATCCATACTGGAGAGAAACCATATGAATGTAACCAGTGTGGAAAGACTTTTACATGTAAGTCTGGACTTAGTGTACATCAGAGAATCCACACTATAGAGAAATCTTATAAATGTAATCAGTGTGGAAAAGCTTTTCCACAGAAATTATATCTTAGTGTACATCAGAAAATCCACACTATAGAGAAACCTTATAAATGCAATCAATGTGGAAAGACTTTCAAATGTAGGAAGAGTATTGATGCACATCAGAGAACCCACACAGGAGAGAAAATTTATAAATGTGATCGATGTGAAAAGACTTTCAAATATAAGAAGACTCTTATTCTACATCAAAGAATTCACACTGGAGAGAAACCATATGAATGTAATCAATGCGGAAAGGCTTTTACACAGAGAACTGGTCTTATTGTACATCAGAGAATCCACACTGGAGAGAAACCTTATAAATGTTCTCAATGTGAAAAGACTTTCAAAAGTAGGAATGGTGTTCATGTACATCAGAGAATCCACACTGGAGAGAAACCATATGAATGTAATCAATGTGGAAAAACTTTAACATATAGGGCTGGTCTTATTGCACATCAGAGAATCCACACTGGAGAGAAACCTTATGAATGTAATCAATGTGGAAAAGCTTTTACACAGAAATTCCATCTTACTGTACATCAGAGAACCCACACTGGAGAGAAACCTTATCAATGTAATCAATGTGGAAAGACTTTCAAAAGTAGGAAGAGTTCTGATATACATCAGAGAATCCACACTGGAGAGAAACCATATGAATGTAATCAATGTGGAAAGGCTTTTACACAGAGAACTGGCCTTATTGTGCATCAGAGAACCCACACTGGGGAGAAACCTTATGAATGTAATCAATGTGGAAAGGCTTTTACACGGAAGGACTCTCTTGCTCTACATCAGAGAATCCACACTGGAGAGAAACCATATGAATATAATCAATGTGGAAAAGCCTTTACATGAAGGGATAGTCCTGTTCTACATCAGAATCCACACTGGAGAGAAACATGAATGTACCCAATGTGGAAAGGCTTTTTAGATCCAGCTCCAATCTTACTGAACATCAGGGAATCCATACTGCAGAGAAACCTTAGGAATGTAATCAATGTGGTAAAGCCTTCTAGCTAAAGTCAGTTCTTTTTTCCCCATCAGAGAATTCATAGGTGACAGGAATCTTTTAACTGACCTCAATAAGGAAAGGCATTGAAATGGATTATAAAGAACTGGAAATTGCAGTAATGCCCATCAATTGGGGAATGTCTGATCAAGTTGTGGTATATGATTGTGATGGAATACTACTGTGCTGTAAGAAATGATGAGCTCAATTATTTTAGAAAAACATGGAAAAACTTGCATGAAATAATGAGGAGCGAAATGGGCAGAACAAAGAAAACATTGTAATCAATAACAGCAATATTTTTTAAGAACAACTTTGACTGAATAAGTTATTTTAACTATTATAAGTCCCCAAATTGGAGGTAGGGCCAAGGCAGGGTCTTGCCTGAGCTCTCCCCCAAACCCATAATGACTCTTAACAAAATCTAGTGCAGCAGGACCTATAAAAAGATGGAGTGAAACAATTTTCCAGCCCAAGACAACTTAGAAGGTTAGCAAGAAAAGTCTGTTGCACTAGTGTGAGATAGGAGTGCAGTCCAGTGAAGGCCATGCCAGTGCAAACCAGGCCCCAGCAAACCAAGAGCAGGCCTTGGTACAACTGAATTAGTGGCAGCATTGGCTGTTTCCAACCTCTCATCCCACAGAGGGTGAGGGGATTGTACAACATGTCAGAAGGAGATTTATAGGGGTCCCTTTGCTGGCACTAGGGCAAGACTGTTAGATTTGGGTCACAGTCCTGGGTCTTAGTCCCAGTGCAAAGAGGAACACTGGCACTCTAGAGCTTGCCACCCGGGGACCCTGGTCACAGTTCTAGGATTGAAGAGTGCTTGTGGTAGCTCATAAACTAGTGCACAGTATAGGAGAAAAGTAAACACACCTCTCTCTAGGTCATACCACCTTGGAAGAGCCAAAAACATAGAGGGCCCCAGAATTGCCTCTGAAAACAGCTGCACAAAAAACCTGAAGCTTGGGATAGTGCCCCTCCACTTAGGAAGCAGAACCCCACTCTAGCATAGAGTTAAAAATCAAGAAAAAGGCTGGAAAATGATCAAACAACAGAAAAAAATTCTGACCATAGTGATGAGGGCAGGTTGAGTTGTGGCAGGACATTTCTAAAGAATTTCAAAGGTGCAGGCCTACTCCAAGCCAGTTAGAGAGATTTATTATGGTATTATTAGAGGTTTCATGCTCTGGTGAGTGGCTAAATTCTTTAAAGGAATTAACAGATTCAGTAAGGCAAAAGAGACAATTTTATAGTGTATGTGATGCTGATTACACGACCAAAATTTACATAGAATATAGGAATATGATTAATATCAGAAGGGCAGGAGGGGTTTGTTAAGGGATTAGGTAATAGGGGAGGGATCCTACCCTTGGTGGAATTACACATGCAGTTACCCACAATGATTACAGAAAAACTCACTGAGGGGTATATGTATGTATAATAATGATATTATAATAAGCCTCTCTATGTCATAAGTTTATTTTGGGTCAGTTCTTTACTATTACTGTTCAGGTGCCATTTTAAGGAGGGGGCCCTTCTATGGTTTAGTGGTCAGGCATCCTGCTGTACATCCTGGAGATGCTGCATTCTGATTGGCTAGGTATTGTGGTCATGTTTGGTCAAGATGGATGGTGTGGTTGTGGTTGGGTGCATGGACACACCTGTTTCTGTGGGAAATATGTGAATTGGATTTAAGGGCACAGGCTAACTAGAAGATTGAGTCTGGGGGCAGTGGGTTTGCCTATGATTGAGTTTGGGGCCCTATGATATGGTTGAGACCAGATTATGTAGTCAAATCAGGACATGCCTGCTATTCAGTGGGGTCCATAAGGAAGTTAGAATGTTGGGACTGGGGGCAGCTTTATTAGGATTCCTTCAATAGAAAGTTACTATGTGCCAAAAAAGAACAAAACACACACTCAGAAGTCAAAAAAAGCTCCTACATCCAAATCCTCTAAGAAAAATATGAATTGGTCTCAGGCCATGAAAGAGCACAAAAAGGAGTTTGAAAATCAAGTAAGAGGGGCAGCTGGGTGGTGCAGTGGATAGAGCTGTGGCCTTGGAGTCAGGAAGACCTGAGTTCAAATCCAGTCTCAGACACTTGACACTTGCTGGCTGTGTAACCCTGGGCAAGTCACTTAACCCCCATTGCCTCACCAAAAAAAGCAAACAACAACAACAAGCAAACAAACAAACAAAAAAAGGAAATCAAGTAAGAGAGGTAGAGGAAAAATTGGGAAGAGAAATGAGAGTGATGTAGGAAAATGAAAAAAGAGTCAACAGGATGGTAAAGGAAGCATAAAAAAATACTGAAGAAAATAACACCTTAAAAAAAAAAACCAGAAAAGGGCAAATGGTAAAAGAGGCACAAAAATTCACTGAAGAGAAGAACTCCTTAAGAAGTAGAATTAACCAAATGGAAAAGGAGGTACAAAAGCTCACTGAAGAAAATAATTCCTTAAAGTATTGGGCAAATGGAAGCTAATGACATCAAGAAACGATCAAACTAAATCAAGAGAATGAAAAAATAGAAGAAACTGTGAATTATCTCATTGAAATAACAACTGACCTGGAAAATAGATCCAGGAGAGATAAATTTAAAATCATTGGACTTCCTGAAAGCCATGGGCAAAAAAAAAGAACCTAGACATCATCTTTCAAGAAATAATCAAGGAAAACTGCCCTGATATTCTAGATATTCTAGAACCAGAAATTGAAGGAATCCCCCAATCATCTCCTGAAAGAGATCCCAAAAGGAAAACTACCAGGAATGTTATAGCCAAATTCCACAGTTCCCAGGTCAAGGAGAAAATATTGCAAGCAGCCAGAAAGAAACAATTCAAGTATCATGGAGCCACAGTCAGGGTATCACAAGATTTAGCAGCTTCTACAGTAAAGGATTGGAGGGTTTGGAATATGATACTCCAGAGGGTAAAAGAGCTAGGATTGCAACCAACAATCACCTACCCAACAAAAGTGAATGATTTGTGAAGGAATTTATGATTTTCATATTAATTGATGGGATGTGTATAATGAATATACTAATAATTTAGACTTCCCAGAGCTCTCATTTTCCCAGCACATCATGGGTTGAGAGTCAGAGACTCACAATGCAGCTTAAGGTGATCAATCAACTCTGACATTCCATACGTTTCTGTGCCTGTGTACCTTACGTGAAGCAATCAAAGATTGTAAAACCTGTTCCTGTCACAGAACTCCAGTTCTGTACCCCATCGAGTAATCACAACCCCTCCCCATCAAGATTTGAAATAATCAACTTAAGAACTGTTGCCAGAGCATGAGAGAATACCTGTATAGTCCTGCACTCATGGGATTGCTATAGGAAACTGTTCAAGACCTAGAAATCATCGTATGGTAATCTTCCTTGGTTGTAATCCCACCACCTTCCCCCCTTTCCCATTTGTGATTTATGTGTATAAACTCTGCCTTTATTCCAGCATGATAAGCTCTCTTCAGGTTTGCAAACTGCATTCCTCACTCTGATGTGAATTAATTAAACCACTACTTGCTTGCTGGCACACCTGCCTCTGACCTGCTGTGTTTTGCCTCTGGCCATTCCTAGGTTAGAGATTAGTACAGTAAAATTCTGTTAACAAATCCTTCAGGGGGAGAAAATGAACATTCAGTGAAACAGAGGACTTTCAAGTATTCCTGATGAAAAAGATCAGAACTGAATAGAAAATTAGACCTTCAAATAGAAGACTCAAGAGAAGCATAAAAAAGGAAAGAGAAATCATAAGGGATACCATAAAGGTTAAACTATTTGTATTCCTACATGAGAAAATGATACTTGTAACTCCAAAAAACTTTCTCATTATTAAGGCAATTAGGAGTATACATAGACAGAAAGCAGAAGTGAGTTGAATGTGATGGTATAATTATCTAAAAAAAATTAAGTGATGAGAAAGAAGAATGCACTGGGAGAAGGGGAAAGGGAGAGGTAGAATGGGATAAATTATCTGACATAAAAGAGGCCTGAAAGAGATTTTGCAATGGAGGAGAAGGTGGGGAGAAGTGGGGAGGAGATCACATGGACCTTACTGTCATCATAATTGGCTCAAAGAGGCAACAATATACACACTCAGTTGGGTTTAGAAATCTATCTTATGATAGGGAGGGAATGGGGATAACAGAAGGGGTGAGGGAGCTGATAGAAGGGAGAGCAGTTTGGGAGAGGTAAAAGTCAGGAACAAAACACCTTTGAGAATGGACAGGGTTAAATTTTTTACAGTGAGATTCTCTGTTAAAGATTTCATTTCTCAAACATATAGAAAAACGAATCGAATTTCTAGAAACAAAAGCCATTCCGTTGATATGTGGTCAAAAAGGATATGAACAAGAAGTTTTCAAAGTAATCAAAGCTATCTACAGTCATATGAAAAAAATGCTCTAAATCACTATTGGTGAGAGATATGAAAATTAAAACAACTCAAAGCTACTTCCTCATACGTGTCAGACTGGCTAACATGACAGAAAAGGAAAGTGACAAATTTTGGAGGGGATGTGGGAAAATTAAAACACTAATATATTATTAGGTGGCCTGTAGGAGAACACAAAATTCCCCTAAATTGCCCCAATTTTTATATCCTTGATCAAACAAATCTGATGTCTTCCCTTCACCAAAGATTGCTCCCCAGTCAACACAATATTGACACAAGGTCTTTTACTTATTCTGAAGACATTCTATTTCTGAGAACATCCAGATGGATTCTCTCACACAGTTCTGCAGTTTATGGGGCTATTCCCTCTTTCTTTTTGGTTTTGCAACCTGAAGGATGTACGTGAATTATTTTCCTTATCTCATCTTTCTGTTATAGTCAAATCCAAAATTTAACCTTCACTAGTCACCTTCATGTTCTAGAGAAAGGCATGTCCCACTGAGCACATTCATAAAGTTTCTTT